AGAGAAAGAGAGAGAGAGAGAGAGAGAGGGTGGTTCCACTTGAATTTTCGTCGACGAACACGGAGAGTAGCACGGCCTTTTCGAACCACTCTATCCCAGTCAATTAATTCGTCTTAATAAATGCTATTCTACCTTGGCCACTTTCTCTCTGTTTCGAATCGAAGCTCTGCACTCTCGCGAGAAGTGCGCGTTTTCCCTTCGTGCAAAAACGGGAGATATTTTAAAAGATTTCAACTAACGTCACGTAGTTACGTACGAAGAAATAATTGAATAAACGTGAAATTACTTGAACTAACTATGACAAGATAAGGTTTCTATGGTTCGAAAATTAAGTTATAAATATCGCTGTTCTATTCTGCGAAAACACGGAAAATAGTATAAAAATTACCAACTCCGATGGAAATTTCAATCTTAATAAAGGAATTAACTCTAGTAAGAATAACTTAAATGATGATATTTCGTTTCCGAGTGTATTAATATTCCAAGTCACTCTTCATGAAGTCCGACATCGTTTGCAAAAGTGGAATTCGATAAAATTATGAATTCTATTACAATCGGAAGAAATGTAAAGCAAGAATTCCGTGTCTCTCGCCATTTAATTCCTTCTCTCTCTCTCTCTCTCTCTCTCTTCCCGTTCTTTTTCCTTTCGCCGTGTTATTAACGATTTTCGTTTCGCGAAGAAACTTCGTCAGTTACGTGCGTCGGTCAGAAACGCGAAAAATTTATTACGCTAAACACGTTACGTGTTACGAATAATGGCTGGAGGGGGGGGGGGCCTTAAACTCCGTGAAACAGCCGGGTGTTTTCAGTTCTCTAACTTGTTAATTATCACGATGATTCCTTTGCGTCCGTGTTCGGAAAGTAATTTACCCGGTGTGATTCGGATTAATTAAACAAACATACACATCCGCGAGTCAGGCGAGCTTGTTTGAACGTTATTTACCTGCGCGAAAGCGTCCAAGCCACGTGCAATCGTACTCGAGCAAATTTGACGACACTGTACTAATTAGAAACGTGCTAAGATCAAAGAAACTGCGAATCTTAATCAGTTTGGACATCTTGAAACGATAAATCGTGAATATTCGTCGCGTTCTGAACGAGTCTGTCCGTCACTATCTCTTACTTTACGTCGCTGGTATCGTAAACGTTGTCTCGACACTTGACTGCTGCAACGTTTAATTCCACAATGTTGAAATTTTGAGAAACATCGTGTTGCAGCACGGTGTTTACAGTTGTCAATTATCGAATATAAATTAATTTCCATTTTGATGACATAACTTTAAGAATATTACATCTGGCATAAATTTAGTACATATTTACATTATTTAATATAACATTTCGATATTGTATTGTACAATGATAATTCGTTTTATTTTAATCATTCTAAGATGAACGAGTCAGAAACGTTTTTATTTATTTTATTATCGTTTCTATTTGTCATCAAACAACTGTAAATTGACGGAAACGATTTCGGTGAAATTTGGTCCTATCTTCGAGTGAAAACTGATTGATCTGGCTAAATTAACTTGCATCAGCTTTTTAAATAAAGTGGCAGCAATTAATAAAGTAACTCTGCGATAAGTAGCGATATAAAAATTGCATCGTTGTGCCAAGCTGAAAGAAGCCTCGGGTCAACTCTTGAGTTAATTTCATTTACTTTTATTCGATTTTACTGTCTCATTCATTGAATTATTACTTCCACTAAAAAGAAGCAGAAGAAGAAAAAAAATTAACGCTTTTTAACGAGAGAATTTCGTCTGACGCTTTTTTTTTTTTTTTTTTTTTTAAATTACTGCAAATGTTTGCGTTTCGTCTCAAAGAAGAAGAGAAGTTCGAGGTCAAAGGGAAACACCGTCTTTCGCAGTAGGTTCTCGTTAGCTAATGACGTTAGTGTCGTGTAATTCGGCGAGAGAAAAAAAGGGAAAGTCGGGAAAGAGCATGGGGATCGCCAGGGGGAATCGCAGACAGCTTTAAATT